GGAAGTCGGCTCCGTGCTCTCTCGTCACAAGTGACGAGAGAGCACGGAGCCGGCTTCCTGATACCGGAAGTATCGGGTTAGGCATTGGAGCATTTGAGCGAGTACGAGTGCTCGCCCAAATACTCAGCATCGGCACCGAGACCGATACTAGTATCGGTATCGATGCATCCCTAGTTGTCACCCTGTCACATGCACCCCTGGTGAAGGGTACAGGCAGTCGTGCTGACACACATTGCTTATGGCACAGGAAGTATTGTCCATTACTGAGAGGGAGAGTTACATTTAAAGAAGAACTCCTGGAATGTAAAATGTTAACCCATGCAGAGGGGTTATCTCTTCACTGCAAGGGTTAACTGCTCAGGTTTCTCTAGGGGCTCAGATAAAACATATATACTCACCTGAGCCTCGATTCCGCCTGGCTGCCAGACCAGTCCCTGCATTCCATAACGTAATCAAAGCTTGGAAAACCCCTTTTATATAGTGAGCGCTGCCTTCCATCTGCCCATCACTTTCACCAAATTCCTGGATTCCCAGTGTGCTCTTTCCCTGCTGCTTCATGTGATGCAATCTCCATTTCTCTAGACTACATATACCATCATGCATTGCTCCCAGCACGCAGTGATAATGTTACATTGTTCAGACGTTGAGTTGTAGTTCAGAAGCTCTGTGAGAGCAGTGACACCAGGACGTTCATATTCACAGAGCTGAGTGAACTTGTGTCGGTGCATTGAGGCAGGCCATCCTATGAGCATCTTCAATAAGTAAGTAATGTCTAAATCAATATGTCATTAGGAGTGGGATAGAAATTCAACATAGAAATACAGATTTAGCAAGAAAGAGGCGGACTTTATAACATGATGTGTGTGGCTATTGGTTATTCTGTTTCTGTGATGTTCTCTTGCTGCTATGGGGAGTCAGTAAAGAGAGTAATGCAGAATATTCCCCTCCTGTCTTTAATAAAATCCCGATTATTCGGTCACGAAAGCTAGAATATTCATACATTTTTTACCATAGATACCTTTGGATTTCAAGACTTCCCCTTATCACTTTTTCTTCTCAGCCACTAGATGGCGCCAGCACACCATAGCTGCCTGAAAACAACCCCAGTCTTCCAATTGAGCCCAAGAGGCATCATTGTCATTCCAGAATGTAAATGGATTCCGCTATTATGTTTTATGACACAAACACTTATCATGGAAGAACATGTTGTTCCTGCTGGCATTCAGTATCTATGGGAAAAGTATCCATATAATCCATATAGGAGTACATATGTAGGAAGTATCTGAAGTATGAAGTATCCTCTACAGCAGGGATGGCCAACTCCGGCCCTCCAGCTGTTGTGCAACTACAAGTCCCAGAAGCATTGCAAGACTGACAGTTACAAGCATGACTCCCAGAAGCAAAGGCATGATAGGATTTGTGGTTAAAGCCCACCCTTGTTCTACAAATATACACAGTATATATGCTACTAGTAGATGTAGACTCCATCCCCCACGCACACAAACACACACATACACACTGCTATCTGTATAAAGTTTCCTTTCATTACATAAATGTGCGCTGGCATTTGAGTGTGTATGCTGATATATATATATACAATTAAGGTATTAAAGTGACACTAAATTAATATTAAATATTGTTTAATATTAAAAATACATTCAAGAACCTTAACTATTAACAGAAATGTATCTTATTTGTGTGTCACTCGGCTGCAGATCTTCAAATCATCTCTGAATTGGTGCTGACACTGTCCTTCCTTTTGGAGGCGGGCTACTATACCTTGCACTGTGCCCTCTCATGCTACTTTACAACACACACAAGGACCATGGGGAACAATAGGATCTACAGCCGAGTGATACACAAATAAGATACATTGAGGGGAATTTATCAAAACTGGAGCAGGCAGAATCTGGAGCAGCTGTGCATGGCAGCCAATCAACTTCTCTCTTCACTTTGTTCAGTTAAGATTTGAAAATTAAAGGAGAACTATGGGGTTAGGGCTTTTCCTCATAGTTCTCCTAAGGGTAACGGGAGGAGACGCAAACTAGCGTCCTCCCCTCACCCTAAGCTCAGTATATAGTGAGCTATAGCGAGCTACAGCTCGCGGAATACTGAGACGCCGCAGCTGAAGCGGATCCCGACAATTATGTCTGGATCCGCCCAGCTGCGTGAGTGACAGCTGGCTCTGCCAATCTAGAGGCAGAGCCAGCTGTACCCGCCCCCTCCCCCGTCCGTTCCGCCAGTATGCGCTGGCGGATCGGGGAGGGGGGAATACAGCCCCTCCCCTGTCACGCCAGAGAGCTGTGACGGGATCGAGAAGTAAGCGAACACCGTTATGTGTTCGCTCACCTCCCGATCTACTGAGCCGACCTGTGACAGTCTCATTGTCACAGGTCGGCTAGAACTATGAGGTGAGTGAAAAGCACTCGCCTCATAGTTCTGCTTTAAAGAGGGAAGCTGATTGGTTGCCATGCACAGCTGCTCCAGATTTTCTCTGCTCCAGTTTTGATAAATTCCCTTTACAGTCTTTATTTATCTCTCTAGGAGACCATCTGCAGGTACTGCCCATCTATCTATTTACGGTGTATACCCTGTTTCCCCGAAAATAAGACCTACCCCGAAAATAAGACCTAGTACTATTTTTGAGAATTGCTAAAATATAAGACCTACCCCGTAGGTCAAGTCCATTTAAATACTTGTATTGCCTGTGGAAACTCCCCTATAGGAACCATATAGATCTTTATAAGAGTACCTCTAGGTACTGTCCATCTAAGTAGATGGATTGTATGTGGAAAGAGACCTGAGTTATATACAGGGGTAACTCCTATATGTATCATATGTGGGAATCTCCCTTATAGGAAAATACCATCCTATAGGAAGAGCCCTGTGTTATATACAGGGGTGACCCCCCTATAGGAGGAGCCCTGTGTTATATACAGGGGTGACCCCCTTATAGGAAGAGCCCTGTGTTATATACAGTGGTGATCCCCTTATAGGAAGATCCCTGTGTTATATACAGTGGGTGACCCCCTATAGGAAGAGCCCTGTGTTATATACAGGGGTGACCCCCCTATAGGAAGAGCCCTGTGTTATATACAGTGATGAGCCCCTTATAGGAAGAGCCCTGTGTTATATACAGGGGTGACCCCCCTATAGGGAGAGCCCTGTGTTATATACAGGGGTGGCTCCCTATAGGAAGAGCCCTGTGTTATATACAAGGGTGACCCCCTATAAGAAGAGCCCTGTGTTATATACAGTGGTGACCCCCTTATAGGAAGAGCCCTGTGTTATATACAGGGGTGACTCCCTTATAGAAAGAGCCCTTTGTCATATACAGGGGTGACCCCCCTATAGGAAGAGCCCTGTGTTATATACAGGGGTGACCCCCCTATAGGAGGAGACCTGTGTTATATACAGTGGTTACCCCCCTATAGGAAGAGATCTGTGTTATATACAGTGGTACCCCCCTATAGGAAGAGCCCTGTGTTATATACAGGGGTGACCCCCCTATAGAAGTCTGTACAGGGGGCGGACTCCTCTACATGTGCGCTGAGTACTCGCTGGATGCTGCACATGGTCACCGGCATCATATTCCTCACCTGCCTCTGCTCGCCTCCTGATTGGTGGAGCGCTCCGTCATGACGTCACCGCCGGCTTTAGGGCTCTGCTCCCGGGATTCGGAGGAGAGATCGGGGACATGGGCTCTGCTACCAACCATGAAGAACGGGGAGAGGAGGGGGACGGGGCCCCGGTGGGCTTCCAGGTGGTGCGCTGGGAATGGCATATGGTACAGACCCCGTACCTGGTCGTAGTGTGGATCCTGGTGGCCAGCCTGGCCAAGATCGGTGAGTGACGGACTGTGTGTGTCTGTGTCTGTGTGTGTAGGAGAGACGTCCGTGTCTGCCCAGCGATGCCATCAGCTTGTGACAGTCACGTCTTCCCTGCCATCCCTTTGTGTTCTCTACCCCCATCACACCCTCTATTGTCTGTAAAAGATGAATTACCATATACTCTACCTGTACCCTATTCTGTTATACCCAGCACTGTGCCCTCTATGCACAGCACTGTGCCCTCTGACTATACCCAGCACTGTGCCCTCTTACTATACCCAGCACTGTGCCCTCTCACTATACCCAGCACTCTGCCCTCTGACTATACCCAGCACTGTGCCCTCTATGCCCAGCACTGTGCCCTCTGACTATGCCAAGCACTGTACCCTCTGACTATACCCAGCACCGTGCCCTCTGACTATACCCAGCACTGTGCCCTCTCACTATACCCAGCACTGTGCCCTCTCACTGTACCCAGCACTGTGCCCTCTGACTATATCCAGCACTGTGCCCTTTATGCCCAGCACTGTGCCCTCTCACTATACCCAGGAGTGTGCCCCCTCACTATACCCAACACTGTGCCCTCTATGCCCAGCACTGTGCCCTCATACTATACCCAGCACCGTGCCCTCTGACTATACCCAGCACTGTGCCCTCTCACTATACCCAGCACTGTGCCCTCTCACTGTACCCAGCACTGTGCCCTCTGACTATATCCAGCACTGTGCCCTTTATGCCCAGCACTGTGCCCTCTCACTATACCCAGGAGTGTGCCCCCTCACTATACCCAACACTGTGCCCTCTATGCCCAGCACTGTGCCCTCATACTATACCCAGCACCGTGCCCTCTGACTATACCCAGCACTGTGCCCTCTCACTATACCCAGCACTCTGCCCTCTGACTATATCCAGCACTGTACTCTTTATGCCCAGCACTGTGCCCTCTGACTATACCCAGCACTGTGCTCTCTGACTATACCCAGCACTGTGCCCTCTGAGCCCAGCACTGTGCTCTCTATGCCCAGCACTGTACCCTCTGACTGTACCCAGCACTGTACCCTCTGACTATTCCCAGCACTGTGCCCTCTGACTATACCCAGCACTGTACCCTCTGACTATACCCAGCACTGTGCCCTCTCACTATACCCAGCACTGTGCCCTCTCACTGTACCCAGCACTGTGCCCTCTGACTATATCCAGCACTGTACCCTCTGACTATACCCAGCACTGTGCCCACTGACTATGGCCAGCACTGTACCCTCTGACTATGGCCAGCAATGTACCCTCTGACTATACCCAGCACTGTACTCTCTGACTTTACCCAGCACTGTACCCTCTGACTATGCCCAGCACTGTGCCCTCTAAGCCCAGCACTGTGCTCTCTATACCCAGCACTGTGCCCTCTCACTGTACCCAGCACTGTGCCCTCTGACTATATCCAGCACTGTACCCTCTGACTATACCCAGCACTGTGCCCACTGACTATGGCCAGCACTGTACCCTCTGACTATGGCCAGCAATGTACCCTCTGACTATACCCAGCACTGTACTCTCTGACTTTACCCAGCACTGTACCCTCTGACTATGCCCAGCACTGTGCCCTCTGTCTATACCCAGTACTGTACTCTCTGACTATGCCCAGCACTGTGCCCTCTCACTATACCCAGCACTTTGCCCTCTCACTATACCCAGCACTTTGCCCTCTGACTATGCCCAGCACTGTGCCCCCTGTTTCATGCCCTGTTTCAGCTGACTATATTCTATGATACCCTTCATTGTGCTTTTGCACACCACCCTGCACTTCACCTTTTAGAATCCTTTACCTTACAATGGTGCTTATTTTCTTTACCCAACACTGTGCCCTCTCACTGTACCCAGCTGTGTTCCTTCTCACCTTACCCTGTATGGTGTACTTTATTAACCTGCGCCCTCTCACCCTGTGATATACATTATCTGTACCATGTACAGTGCCATGTCACTCTGCCCTGTTCCGTGCCCAGGATTGCCACTCATCCAAATATGAAAATGTTCTGCAAAGTGCAAAAAAAAAAAACCCCCAAAATGTATAAAGCAATGTTTCTTTTCCTGCATGTAGCTGTAAGCTGACAGTGTTCTTTTCTCTTGTTAAATGGACACGTTTTTGTGAGCTGTACAGTGTTCTACAGTTGGTGCCAACCTTCCTGGGCATGACTCCTGTCACATGATAAAATGTTACCAATTTGGCTTTTTGTTTTTTGCAAACAACACAATTATGAAATATGCAATCATTATGGGAATCAAAAACTGTGCCCTCTCACTATACCCTGTGCCATGCTCTCTCTACTCTGTACTGTGCCGTCTCACTATACCTTATACTGTGCCGTCTCACTATACCTTATACTGTGCCCTCTCACTATACCTTATACTGTGCCCTCTCACTATACCTTATACTGTGCCCTCTCACTATACCTTATACTGTGCCCTCTCACTGTACCCTTTCTGTACTCTAAAGTGCAAAAAAAAAAAACCCCCAAAATGTATAAAGCAATGTTTCTTTTCCTGCATGTAGCTGTAAGCTGACAGTGTTCTTTTCTCTTGTTAAATGGACACGTTTTTGTGAGCTGTACAGTGTTCTACAGTTGGTGCCAACCTTCCTGGGCATGACTCCTGTCACATGATAAAATGTTACCAATTTGGCTTTTTGTTTTTTGCAAACAACACAATTATGAAATATGCAATCATTATGGGAATCAAAAACTGTGCCCTCTCACTATACCCTGTGCCATGCTCTCTCTACTCTGTACTGTGCCGTCTCACTATACCTTATACTGTGCCGTCTCACTATACCTTATACTGTGCCCTCTCACTATACCTTATACTGTGCCCTCTCACTATACCTTATACTGTGCCCTCTCACTGTACCCTTTCTGTACTCTGTACTGTACACTCTCTCTGTACTCTGCCCTCTCACTGTACCCTGTACTATGCCCTCTTACTATACCCTGTATTGTGCTCCTTGCTTTACCCTTTACTATGCTCCTTGCTATACCCTTTACTGTGCCCTCTCACTATTCCCTGTACTCTGTTCCCTTTTCTGTACCCTGTACTGTGCCCTCTCTCTACCCTGTAATGTGCCCTCTCGCTATACCCTGTACTGTGCCCTCTCACTATTCCCTGTACTCTGTTCCCTTTTCTGTACCCTGTACTGTGCCCTCTCTCTACCCTGTAATGTGCCCTCTCGCTATACCCTGTACTGTGCCCTCTCACTATTCCCTGTACTCTGCTCCCTTTTCTGTACCCTGTACTGTCCCCTTTCTGTACCCTGTAATGTGCCCTCTCACTATACCCTGTACTGTGCCCTCTCACTATTCCCTGTACTCAGCCCCCTTTCTGTACCCTTTACTGTGCCCTCTCACTATTCCCTGTACTCTGTTCCCTTTTCTGTACCCTGTACTGTGCCCTCTCTCTACCCTGTAATGTGCCATCTCGCTATACCCTGTACTGTGCCCTCTCACTATTCCCTGTACTCTGTTCCCTTTTCTGTACCCTGTACTGTGCCCTCTCTCTACCCTGTAATGTGCCATCTCGCTATACCCTGTACTGTGCCCTCTCACTATTCCCTGTACTCTGCTCCCTTTTCTGTACCCTGTACTGTGCCCCCTTTCTGTACCCTGTAATGTGCCCTCTCGCTATACCCTGTACTGTGCCCTCTCACTATTCCTTGTACTCTGCTCCCTTTTCTGTACCCTGTACTGTGCCCTCTCACTATTCCTTGTACTCTGCTCCCTTTTCTGTACCCTGTACTGTGCCCTCTCGCTATACCCTGTACAGTGCCCCCTTTCTGTACCCTGTACAGTGCCCCCTTTCTGTACCCTGTACTGTGCCCTCTCGCTACACCCTGTAAAGTGCCCCCTTTCTGTACCCTGTACAGTGCCCTCTCACTATACCCTGCATTGTGCCCTCCCACTATACCCTGCATCGTGCTTTGTCTGTGCCTTGTGTACTCTCACTGTCTTTATTCTATTTCTGTGCCCCCCTGTTTTCCTTCACCCCGCGCACTGTGCACTTTGATGGTAGTTTCATGTGTTCAATACCTACCATTCACCAGCTGCTGTAAGAGGTTAGCACTTTTCCCTTGCAGTACTGGGGTCTTGGGTCTGCTCCCACCATGTGTGTTTGGGTTTTCTGTCGGGTCTTCAGTTTTGTTTCACAGTATGTATTACAGCTTTATATCTAAGCAGAGCACATAGTAGAGCGGCAACATTGTCTGCAAATGTTACATTCTATATGTTTTCATAATCTGATCAGATTTGTTTGCTGTGAGAGTTTGCAGAACCTTAATCTATATTTATCCCCATTCAGCTATACTGATATATTGTATGTTTAAATCTCTTTATCCATCAAACTCATCCTCTCTCCTTCACCCGACCTTCCACCCACCTTACCACTATAATCCATGCGGCACCATGCAATGGTTTCTGTCAGTTCAGGATGACACTAGCTATTACACACTATGCGATCTGAGCCCCCCAAAAAAGGACACATCCTGATACAAAAGCTGGAATCCAAACAGGCGCCGGCCACCGCGTCTTGAATTGCAAGTTGAAAGTAATATTTTTGGGATATAAGCCGATATTGTTCAAGTCTTCGCCAACTTCAAAGGGAACCTGTCAATCAGCAGATACTACAGAGCGCCAGATTTCGGGTATGTGCCCCTTCCCCCATCGGAGGCCATTTTTATCACACTGCCTCCTATGAGCACTGGTTACATTTTAGTCACCAGGTAGCCATGGCAACTGGAGACGGTCCCCTGATGACCAGGACCTTGAATCTCCTCCAGTCAGCCTTCCTTTTTAGTAGCCTGACCCAATGCTCTCTGCAAATGCTCTCTGGACATTGTGTCATGTGACTTGCCTGTCACATGACACAGAGTGCAGTGGAAGCTGTGTCCCATTTTTCACACAGCTGGTTATGTCACATGGTAATTGCGCTACGGTTTATGAAATCTGTATTTTTGGTAAAAAAAGATACGCTGA